CAGTGCGCCACAATACAATTCTGCAGCTTCAGCACCCATTTTATGTGGCGAAATGATGCTGTGCAGAAAAGACCCAGAGTACAGACGTCATCATCGACACTTGTGCATCGTTACTTTTCCCCCATGTGACATTTTCCAGGTATTATGCAGCTTCGCGCATCAAAGCAACTAACTGTTGTGTCAAGCTGCGGACAGCACCTTTGACAGTTTCCTTTTTGCGTCGATCATATCCTGCGCTGATAAGAGGTATCACTGCCTTTACACACTGTTAGTCCTAATGAAATAATTTGGCACTCTCATGCATTTCGCCCATGGTTGTCATTCATCATCTCGGAAATACAAGTACTTGAATGGCTAGGAAAATTAAAGCGCATGTTTAATTCGAATTCATGCTAACTGCCGTTCAACAGCGGTACCTTCTCCTCCTACGGAGCTGATTGGTGGGTTGGAATTCCACTTTTTTGTTCCTTTTACAGCTGACTCAATGTAACGACCCTTCTAAGGGACCATAAAACCTTAAGGTCTGGTAGATATACAAATCTTCTACTTCCTTTAGAGCGATTTTGCACCAGTATAGGCAGTTGGAGAGGCAAAGTCGTTCCTGCCCTTTTGATATCATTGCTGATAAAATCTCCGCAACTTGTGAAATCTAGCACCACTCTTGACATATTCGCAGTCATGATCTTTCAACTGAGAGACTCAAAAACCGACTAAAACTGCGTAATTAAAATTATTAGGCATACTGTTAGGCAATTAGCTGCTCGACCGCCGAATCATGCTGGTAGCCTCCCGGCCACGCTGAACGTTTGTAAGTAGTATATCTCCTTGGCGGTACTTAAACGCGGGAATTCGGAGAACCACGTAAGCACTTGTAAGATTTCCGCGAGTGGAAAATGCTCGTCAAGGTGGAGTGACGATCCTCTCACCTCTATTCCACTTGTAATGTGTGAACTTGTGGACTTAAATTTGACAAATTAAGCGAAGACAAATTATCGCTCACAAATTTCTCTTGTGAGATACGAAAATAGGACGAGCTAAAGATAGATGTTAAGGGATACGCCTTTTCCTTCGGCTGCTGATAGGGAAGTAAGGATACAAAGGTGTTTTTGTAGAACGCTTCCCTCCCATCAGCATCATCATTTGCTGACCAACAGTGTCAGCAGATTTCCTTCAAATGAGCCCTACACATGAATGAACCACTTGCTGAGTGTGCGTTTGAGGTACTTGGAAGAAAATTGCGTCTCCATCAGGCATGACATCACGCATGTAGCAGTGTACGTTCAGTCTTTATTCACTTAACTTAGGCGCATGGACCCGCACTTTAGCGGGTTTGTTATAACCTCGAGGATAACTGTAGTGGAGTCGCCCTCTTAATGACCTGAAAAGCATCCATGGCTTAGGAGGAGGAGCATATTTTCGTCACATAGTGAGGCTTATCCATCTTGTTGCGCGCGTACGATGGGTGAGTAGACGGCTGAGAAGTCACTGATGTTGTGCTGCGCGAAGGACATGATGGATGACGGAAATGTCGAAGCCGTGATCACGGATAAAGTGCGGAAGTTATGTGTGTCAGAGCAGATGGTGCAACTTGGGAAAGAACTGTGCAATACCAATTAAATGAGGTTCATATGAAGGTCCTCATGAAGTGCAAGGTAGCTACCACGTTGTTGAGCCAATGAGTCGGTGCGGGATGCCTGAAATAGGTGGTGTTTCATGATAGTGAGGAAAAGTAGTGTCAATTGGTACTGCGACCGAGTAGTTGATGAGCGTTGCCGAGGCCATAGCAATAAGGGAATGGAAGTAGCATCCATGTTCTGTGCGTTTGCTTCAATAAGCTGTCCTCCCAGTCGACGCGTGACATGGCTGAGGAACTTCACACTGCCACGTGGCTTGAGCAGCCGCCATACATCGTCTGAGAAAAGCATCGTTGTGGCTTAAACGCATCGGTGGGGTTTTTGTAGTTGTTGGGATCCCTTAAACTTGCTTCCTCGTCCTTCAAAATTGTGGCAACTTTTTAATGGTACTTCAATTCACCGAATGGGAAATTCGGCCTTTCAACAAATAAAATTATCGAAGTGGATGGACGTTTGAATTTATAACCAACTATATTTGTCTCCTTCTTACAAAGCACGCAGCAGCTCCCTTAATTGTGGCCCAAAGGGGACTGCTAAATGGAGCCGCTGTGGTTGTTTCTCGACAACCTGACAAGTTGTAGCTGTCCGGGTTAGGAGTGGAATAGTTTGAAAGGACCATTTCCTCATCATTAAGACGTCTTCGGCTGTTCGGTGGCATCACGAGTGACTGCCATACCTTTCGCGCCTACTACGTGACCCGACCCGCCTTTTAAGTCATTCCTGAAACCCAACGAAGGCGACTACAAAGTCACCCTTTTGTCAGTCATCGCTACGGGGAACAAGTTGATAATTTAATTGACATCTGAGGGGTGAAATTTGCGGATCACATGACTGAGTTGAGAGTGCGCTTTGTCATTTGCAATGGAGGTGAGGCCTCACAAATGAGCCCTCATTTTTGAGTGTTCTGGGATCACTCGGGCTAATCGAGGCGTCTTTCGTCCAACCGTCACACCCAGTCGTTGCTCTTGGATGCTTGTTATGTGACTTCACCGCTTTCCTCGACTCTTGGCAGGAAGGCAATGAAATGCCTTTTGACAAGTCTTCAACATTCGCTACGGTGAGAGAACTGTTTTTTTCTGAAGGCATTTTGTTTTTACTGTTCTTTTTAAGTGCCCTCGTTTTGAGTGGAACAACCTTCTGATTCCACCTTTGCCTTGTTGTAGAGAGGTAATTTTACTAATGTCCTCCTTCTACATGTGACTCGGCTTTGAATGCATCGAATTCCCTGTACTGCGTGGGTCCTCGGAAATCTCCAGCAAATGCTTGTCAGGTGAGAGGTGTTTGACAGACTTAGATGCACTGATTCCCCTCCTCAAAGCGTCTTATATTTAAAGTTTTCATATTTTCAAAGACTACTATGCGGGGCAAGGACATTAATTTTCTATTCTATTTTCGACTGTCGAACGGTGGTGCACCAATTCGCATTCCAATCGACACCACTGTATGGCCGAATGGGGATAAACCTTCGTGATTACTTTTATTTCTTTGAAAAATATTAAAAGTATCATGAACACCGCATAGCTCTAAGCATTTCGCCTTCTCAAGTGCGCCAAAAGATTGCAGAGGAAGGGAAATGCTCAGGCTTCCAACACTGCTGGCGGCTCCCTTAGCCGCCTTCTCAAAAGAGATCAGAAGGACCAAATTCGAATGCGCGCAAATTCACCACCATTCGTCCGGTGTTCGACCTCAACAGGGGCTCGACCATCGAGGTTGCCATTTCCGTTGCTGCAAGTGAAATGTTAATGAAACAAAGAAAAGTGATTTATACGAGTTCGAACACGATGCAAACAATTTATTTTCGTTGCCACACAAGTTGGGTCCCCAGAGCACCCTTAACTGCTAAATTATGCAGTCTACCTTCAGTGAGGCTTTCTCAGGCAATCTGTCATTTCTGTCAGAATAAAGTTAAATCACTACGTTGACGGGCTTTCACCTCATTCCCTTGCGCATTCAATAATTCCTTTGCAACGCATGTCTTTACTGATGTTTCTTTTACAGATTATGAAGCCTAAGAGTACTCACTCCTTTGAGGATAAATTCACCTTCTTTTATGACTGCTATGCCTTTGAGCTGTTTTAGAAATTCTTGTATAACTACCGAAATTATTGGTCAAGTGTCACCTTTAGTTGCTGCATGTCTTGTCAAGGCGCGTTCACTCGCGTCACCAAGCTGGCCGCGTCATCACGAGGGAGGAAATCAAAGTGGCACCAACTGTTTAAATCACCAGCATCTCTTGCTTAACTATGAAATAAAAGGAATCTGGAACCAAAGAGTAGTGGCCGTAAGACTTTCGGATTGAACAGTAATTTGGATGGATCCAGCAGTTGGAATTTATTTACAAGCAAGAAATTTGATAAGTTAGCGGATGTGGAATTCACTCTTTTTCGGTAGTAGTGGCGGTGTTAAGAGTTGACATAAAATACGATTAATTAAAACAAAATGAGATTGGTAACCACTTGTTTGTGAACAAAAGTTCAGACTAGTCCTAGCGATCAGCCCAATCAGCCAATCAGAGGCAAGCAATATGGGTGTAGAAATGGACCAATCACGTCGCGAAGCCTTCGATGTTAAATTCGTCGATTGTGTTGGGGAAAACTCTAATACTTTAAATGTTATCTTACGTAAGCATCACTTACACCCTCTGTGCATGATTCTTTCGCAGGCTTTGTTGTCTCTCTTATTAATCACAACTGTTAATTCTATTTTGATGAAGTAACCTGCCTTTATTTCCATATTGTCATGCATTTAAATGACTTTTATTATTGTAAAAGACTTTTTAGGTTTAAAGGGGTCATTATTTTGTTCCTAAGCGCAAAGGAAAGGCTAATTTTCTTGCGCGCTGTGGATGAGTTGAGAGGAAACGTCCCGACAGTTGGGTTGAACTTCCCCCATCGGACCCACTGCACTTGTCCACCAAACCTTGAGCCGTAAATTTCCTTAGTGTGGTCTTTGGAAGGCGTGAGGCACTTTATGTATCACTCGAGAGGCTGATTCCATTCCAAATTGCTTTTTCCTACCCCTCATACGTGTGTGAAACCATTTTCGGTCACATTCCTCATTTCTTAACGGACAAAAGCAGACTTTTATTGAGGCAAGCTGATATGGCGACTGAAATCAGTGTTTCGGTGTCATTGCTAGGCATCTTCTATGGTCTATCTTTATTGTCTCTTGTCACAGGCGATTGGTGACCACTTTTAGGTATCTTATTAAGTGTAGTTGCCTATCTTGCACTCCATCAAGCCCTTCTACAGTTGATAACCTTCACGTGGCCGCAGTCCTCCACAGGATGCCATTTTAACTCAATCCCACTGTCAAGCGCATAATCACCCTCCCCTTCCCCACTCTGCCACCTGACGACTTTCGCTTATGTTCCTTACTTCTTCTATAACGGAGTACGATGCTGCGGACAAGAGAATGTTTTCCTCGATAGGTGTAAAGGAATACTGGTTGTGAGGAGCGCCCTTTGCGCCCACACAATTTGGCTTGCCCCTCAACTTGCCTTACCTCCATAGTCCTGAACTTGATAATCTCACGAAAAAAAGTGGCGTTGAAACTATAAACCCACACATGGATAAGATTAGGTGAGTAAAAACTGGGCCATAAATAACCAGTTCACCTTTGACCGTTGGTTCAAATAACGTAAGTGAAACCATGAAAAAATAACGAAAGTCCCTCCAAATAGGATGGATAATGGAGCGTTGAATTGACAGGTTATTTTAAGGCGAAGGGGAGTAGCTTGACGTGAAACCGGTAAGTTAGTTTTTCGAGCTTAGATAAGAGAACAAGGTCCACGGAGATCTGTATTTGCAGAGCACTTGGTGCTTGAGATGAAACAGTTGGCTCACACCGACTGATTTGAGTCACCCCAACGCCTCACGTTCGCCCCAGTTTTGTGTAGATCTCCGATGGTTGCCTGCTTCTCGACTTCCTTAAGCGTGAGCAGTTTTTTTCCCTTCACTTTGAACTTCTTTAACCCAGTCGACAAGTTGTATTGCCTTTGTGGTGTGTCTTCAGTGACCTTTTCATCTTAGTCAAGAAGGACTGTGAAGCGGAGTTGTTTCTCTTCTTTCGCTCCTCAAACAAGTCACCTTCAGGCCTTATCTGTCAACACTTATTCCAGATGAATGACGATGAAACAGTTGCTGATTGTTAGTGGCAAGGGACCCTCCTCGCCCCCCCCCCCACCAAGGCGCTCTTTTGAACCTGCAAGAAGTAACTACTCTTGACAGGAGGCAGTGCAAATGGTGTCACGTCAGCTCAATCGTGGTGAGCCCTGCCATCCACAAGCATCACATGCCAACATTGAAGACAGCCGTTGTCGTTTAGACCCTCGACAGTGCTTTGGCACCCTTTTTCCTGTAAAATATTTACTGGAGTGGTGGTTGGTGTGGATGAACAAGTTCTTAGTGCGACTCTCACTTTGGTCATAGTAGCTCTTTTGCTTCAAAAAACAAACAATTGCCTTCTGGAAACAAAATTTGAAGTCATTCCTTCCAATCACGTGGATGATGCGTTAGTCAGTAAAGCGACTCGGTCCTCCTCTTTCCTCAGAATCCTTTGCTACATCAGTTTGCGTCAATCTTGTTTTCCGTGCTTGATCAAGGGTTGCAATGCCAATCCCTTCCTCCTCCTCCTCCTCCTCCTCCTCCTCCTCCTCCTCCCCCTTCCCCATTTAACTCCAGCAACTGGAATTATGTGTTTGAGGCGGCGCCAATTAAGAGGTTGCATCCCTCGTCATGACTCCACCCTTGTAGGCGACGTTAGGGAGGGTCTAACGCTCTACCTTCTGCTTATTTTAGACTTACAAAGAATATTACTAAAATGGAAGCTCTACTAGACCTCGTCCTCCTCTTCCTGCTCTCCGCCTCTTCAGCCAGTAAGACTGCCTTTCCTTTCAACCACTTCCTCCACCACGCTGACATTTTTATTAACTTTCAAGGAAACACTATTTTTACTTTGGAAAAGAAGTGAACAAGATTAGTAAAGCAGGATAGTTTCCCAGGTAAAATTGACAAGAATCATTCAATGATTTGCTATTATTTCAGGGAAAAAAGGAGGTGTGCTAGAAGTAGAGGCACTTCCTTAATGACCGGAGTTTGGCAGACCTTTTTGTAGGACTAAAACGATTGTGATCGGCATGGCATAAACAAAACATCAGTATTTTAACTCAGTAAATAAAGCTTGCGGGTAGTAAACTTAAGCTTATCGAGGCACTACTTTAAAAATGGCTTATTTAGCGTTCTTTTAGAAAAAAGTATCTTGCTTTTTCACCTTCAAGGTCATTGGTCCTACACAAACACAAACTCGTCTGAAGACAAGTGGGGCGAGGTGGCGCACAAGATGTGCAATGGGAAAAAGCAGTCGCCAATTCCTCTCTCCTACGCAGACGCCATCTACGATCCCCACCTGAAGCCCATCGGTGTCTACCAACACGGCAGCTTCGGCACCAACGAACCCTTCGTCATGACCAACAACGGTCACACGCGTAAGTGTCTCGTCGAAGACCAGTCGAGCTGTGGTCTTCGCCTTTCAAAGCACCCTGTCGAATAAGGGCTAAAAAACGAGTTCACTTAAGCGACACTTCATCACAATGAGGCATTAGCAAGTGCCTCTTATGTCCAATTTGCAACACTCAGTCGAAAGCGGGGAGATTTACTGAGGCCCACATGAAGATGTGCCACTCCTTCCGCCTTTTATTGACCCAAGAACCACACACCTGTCGAAGTCATTTCTGCTATCTCCTACAAAGGTGAGGGGAATCAGATCTTAGATTTGCTGTGAGTCAGTTTGACACCGCATTATGCATGCATTCCTCCTCCAAATTGCTCTTGCTAACGACAAAAACGGGATCGCCGACATCTTTTCAGTGGGGAAGGGGACTGAATGACCTGCAAGGCTAGCAAAATTCGCTCCATGTCATCAGTGGGGATAGCGGGCCGCAGACGACTAGAAGGTCCTCACCAAGTGTTAGCTGTCCATATATTGGTGCACCTACGATACGTAAAGTCGCCTTCTCTGTCTACCTTCAGTTGTTGTCAACATTGGCTCGTGTCACTACTTCTTGGACCTCCAAAACAAGCAAGACATGAAGTTCTGTATCACCCAGTTTCACTTCCACTGGGGCAACAAGAGTTCTGTTGGGTCGGAGCACAGCATTGATGGCAAATTTTTCCCTCTGGAGGTGAGGTCAGACCATACTACTCATAGCTAGCAGTAGGATTTTAAGTAGTTTGCAAGTGGATTTTAATAGCATTGCATCAAAAATATTGGAACGCGTTATAGTTTATTAAAAAAAATTATGAGCTTCTGTTCATAGAAGCCTATTGGTGATTCATTTGTTTCACCTTTACAGATGCACATAGTGGCCTTCGACAAGTCATTGTACACCACCTTCTCGGAGGCCTCCAAAGGAGTGAACGGATTAGCTGTGCTAGGTTTAGTGTTTCAGGAGGATAAAAACATTCCACGCAACAAAACTTTGCTCTTCAACATGGGTGCCTTTCTACAGAAGGTGGAAGAAGTTCAGAGTCCCGGTCAGGCAGCTAATTTTACTCCATTTCCAGTTGATGCTCTGTTAGACATTGGTGACGCCAATTCACGCTACTTCCGATATGAGGGTTCGCTGACCACTCCACCGTGTACTGAGAACGTCTACTGGACGGTGGTCGCAGTCCCGGTGCCAGTTAGCCCTCAGCAGGTAGGTTGTAATGATACTGCATAATTGTCAAAACGAAAATCAGCACAATTCTCATAAGATTATGTGTCTAATAAGCACTCAAAGTTGCCGAACCCGTTTGTCATGGGAAGAACATTAAGGAGGAATTTCGAATTTCACTTTATTTCAGCTTGACGCAATGCGGTTCCTTCGCTACGCCAGTGAGGAATCCGCCTCCAATATGGCAAATAACTTCAGAAAACTCAAATCCGTCAATCCGGATGATGTTGTCGTGCCACGCGTAGTTTTCCGCTCGTGGAATGCCGCATCTCGAATGGCCGCAACCTCGCTAGTCGTCCTCCTTTTAGTTCCACTTTTCATTTGAAATGTGACTCAGATTTCACAGAGACTTCTACTTCCATTAACTGACAAGCTTTATCCCCATCACTTATTATGTATGCTTGAGAGACAGGCATGAGAATAATAACAACTTATCGCCCATCCACTCATGCAACAACGAAGTCGACTGCCACTTGTGGCAGTTGC